GGGGGGGGGGGGGGGGGCTCTACAAAAATTAATGATGTACAGCTAAGGTACAATTGGCAGACCCTTGAAGAAACAGCCCCAGTGACAAGCAAAGGTACAAATTGTTACTTTTTTTCTGATAGTGCAGTTCATTATAAGGCAGTGCATTGTGACCCCATGTGGTGCTGGGTGTCCCCCCACACCAAGGCCAGCGGCTCACCTGGGACAGCGTCTCCTGCAGCCCCTTCACCTCACTCGTCAGGGTGTCCCGGGACTCCCGAAGGTCACGGATCTCCGTCAGCAGGTCCTGGATCAGAGCCATGGCCTGAAAAGCAAACATGTCAGTGCTGACAATGAGGCTTCACAACACCGGCCCGTGACTCCGGGTCACATCACCCTTTGACTCATGGTGAGACGGAGGACCGGGACACTAAAGAAGCACGGCTGTGGACTGGTGCTCGTAAAACGCGAACTGCAGTTAAACTTTAAGAGTGCAAGACAATGAAGGCGGCGGAATGGAAGAGAAGGCGATGTGTAGAAGGAACTTGGAGGAAAGGGGGAGGGTATATTTTAAGATTCAATTTAAGATTCAAGAATTATATTTGTCACATGCATGATTGTAGTGGTAAAATGAAACAAAGTAGAAGGATAACAAAATAAAGTACATTTACAAAATAAGTACTAAAAATATAGACATTGACACTGCCCAGCCGAAAAAAAGTCACCATTTGAGTATTTTGTTGGGTTGCCATTAGCTCTGATGATGGTGCACGTTTCTTCATTGGCACTGTTTGGGTATTTTGTTGGGCTGCCATTAGCTCTGATTATGGTGCACGTTTCTTCATTGGCACTGTTTGGGTATTTTGTTGGGTTGCCATTAGCTCTGAAGATGGTGGACATTTCTTCATTGGCACTGTTTGGGTATTTTGTTGGGCTGCCATTAGCTCTGATTATGGTGCACGTTTCTTCATTGGCACTGTTTGGGTATTTTGTTGGGTTGCCATTAGCTCTGATGATGGTGCACGTTTCTTCATTGGCACTGTTTGGGTATTTTGTTGGGCTGCCATTAGCTCTGATTATGGTGCACGTTTCTTCATTGGCAATGTTTCCACAAGTTTATGCAACATCATCTCAACAACACTTTTTTCCATCCCGATTTGCATTCATTTCTCGTCGATATCTTGTGTCGATGATAGGTGAGCTGAGCCACTCCTTACAGTCTTCTTCGTAACATCTCAAAGACTTTCAAGGTCAAGGCTCTATGGAGGCCAAATTACATGTGAAACCTGAGCATCCCAGTGCAAACAGCCAGGTTAGCCATTAGCAATACCAGTTCATAATGACGCATTTCGCAGAATTTTGCGCATACAAACACTGTGGCAACAAGTCCACAGATAGAAGTTGTATGTATGACCTATTTAATGACGCAGAAATGAGACAGACGTGCAGTATGGACAGTCACAGCTTCTTACCGTCGACACACAGAGCAGCCGTGCTGAATTCTGAGGTCGGGGTTGCAGAGGTTCCTGCAACTTTCGGAGCCGGAAATCCAACTTCGGGGGGACTTCCAGTTGCAATATTAGGAACTCAGAAATTCCAACTCCCCAGTTCAAATGGGATGCGTCATTACTGCGGACATCCCACCTGAGGGATATTAATTTCAGGGAGGCGAATGAGGGGGATCCGGGAGGGTGGGGGTGCTGGCCAGTGCTTGGCTGGTATTACGGTAATACCGTATATATACTGAGGTGTGGGTAGGCCAAACTTGCTGACCGGGGCTACAGACCGGAATGACAGATTTCCAGGATATTGTGCATGATTGAAAGGAGCTGCTGTCAATTTCCGGGAGACTTCCAGAACTTCCGGGAGAAGTGGGATGTCTGATTAATGCCCTGGACCTACGTCACTGGATGTAGGTCCACTGTATGGTGGCCAATTTTGGCTTGGTGTACAGAATTAATAAATAACCATAAAACATGATAAAAAAAAACATCCACAGTAAATGAAGGGACAAGGTGTTCACACAGAACAGGGAGGTAGCGGTTGCTGGCCAATGCCAACAGCAGTAAGTAAACACATTAGGAGGTTCCTGCAGGAGGAAGGTTCCTGTGCAGTTCCTGCCTGAACTAAAAAGCAGGAGAAGCCAGTGTGTTCGCACACTAAGCAGGGCAGCCATTGATGTCAGGCACAGAGCGAGGCACCACAAACCAGTCTCACCATAAATGAAGGTCTAATAAAAGCCAGCCGGCCGGCAGACTGTTCAGTTGAGTTTATTGCAGTTTTTGTGACGTTTCTTCTGGCAGCTACCACTCCCCCCACCCCCTACCCCACCCGCAGTTAAGGTGCCAGGCTTTCAGGACCAACGGGAAAGGGCCATATGAGCATCCCAATACCTGTTGCATGGGAGGGAATTTAACAATGCAGCCCAAAACACAACAAACACAAATTATACTGCACTATTTTCAGTCACCGCTTCCAGCAGCAGCAGGGACCCATTGATTGTGATTGATGGCTCACACGAAAGTCAGGTCATACAATCCCCTTCCTGAATACTGCGAGCACGCAGAGGCAATTAAAGGTTATGGATTGCCTCTGTAAGGTCATGTGACACACCTTGAAAAGAGCCCCTCTCCCCGATGACTTCAGACACAGCCAGGAGGACAATGGCTAGGATTCAGGCTGCGTGTGTGATTCACCCATTACATCACCATCAGCTTAGAGCAGTGTTTTCCAATCCGGTCCTCGGGGACCTGCAAATAGTCCACATTTTTGCTCCTTCCCAGTTCTCAGTAGGGAGCAAATACATGGACTGTCTGGCAGGGAGCTTGAAGGGAGCAAAAATGTGGACTGTCTGTGGGTTCCCGAGGACCGGATTGGGACCAAGGACCAAGTTGGGAGACACTCTTAGTGCTGCAGTTTCGAGGGTTTTATTCGGAAAGCTATGAGGCTGAATTTCCTGCTGGGATCTGACCACACAACTGTGGAGCAAATTACTTAATCAATACACCACCCTCTTTGTACCTATTAAACCTAGCTAAAGGACAGCTGCATTCACGGACTGCAGAGCTGTCACCGTAGGCTGTTGAGGTGAGGGAAAGCGAATGATGACACCGGTGACCGGACAGGAACAGTGGCACAAGGTGAATTATTCAACAGGCTTTAGAAAGAGTCCATCCTCCGCCCTCAGAACGACTATTACCATCCCCTAGAGACAAAGTCGCCCCGATACCCCATCAGCTAATACTTGTGGTGTTAATTACGATCACACAAGATGCCAGATGAAGAGACAGAGGGAAACATTCTGTCATTGGTGAGAGTGGCCGCTCAGTGATGCTTATTACTGAGTAGTTTACAATCTAGTGTAAATACCTTGGTGTAAATTTTAGCAGCGGTCTGGTTATAAATGTATGAATTTAATGCTGTTTTCCATTCTATATATACAAACACATAGACCAGTGCTATGGCAGGTTGACCAAAGCCACTTATATTGTACATATTGGATGTATGATTATATGATATGATAGACCCTTCATATTGCCCCATATATTAAATTTATATTAAACTAAATGGCACGTTCACACTGAAATCCACACTAGAAGGTCAGGTGGCACCGTAGGTTAACTTAAATAAAGGTGTCTTCCTAATATTTATGACGTTACTTCAGATTTATTTTAACTCTCAGTTAGAGCTGTAAGCTGTAAAAACATATAAACATCCGTTATTTATTCATGGGAGGGAGGATGAAGACCCACAGTGTTGGAGAGAAATTTGAACATAGTTCAAGGAAAAGTAATTTGAGAAGACATTACCAGTCCTCATCACCTATTGTGTCTTCCGTCTGACCCACCAAAAGGGGGGGGGGGTTAATTTCCCAGGGCCAACCCCAAGCGAAGTGTTAATGCTGGAAAAAATCCTCAGTGGCTGGGTGCTAACGAGGAGCTAACGAAGCCAGAGGGAGAAGCTGTACTCTATCGGGCCAGTTACAAAAGAGCGGCTCCTCCACACATTAACACCTCCCAGTTGTAGACTTAAGACTGAAAGGACTTAATATTACTCTCAGCAATTGCTCTCAGTTTGCCTACCGATTTAGTTGCAAACAGAAGGTAACATTTCAGAAACGTTAAACAGATTTCACGCTATAATAAGACTTTCATTATGCCCGGTAAAAATAGTATTTATGCAGTATAATGTAAAACTTCTAAAAAATTTATAGGCCTAAATAAAAATGCGCTGTGTAAAGGGATTAGTTACCTGAGATACACCATCCTCGTTCGCCTGGACCTTGCGGCTGATCTGCATTATCTGCCACATCTCACCAACCGTCACGTCGGACTTGGACCTTATTAAGTCGGACCCGCTAGGCAGCCTTTCCAGCGCCACCATCTGCTCCTCGACACGCCTCAGCTTTTCTTCAATCTGGTGACAGTAGGAGAAAGATCTCCTCGGCGAAAGACCCGGCTTCGTCTGGAGCGGAGAGTCGCCCCCCTCGGTTCGGTCTCCGTTTTGGACCAGGCTAAGCCGCTCCAGAATGGCGCAAAGGAGGGAGCGAAGAGCGCAAAAGTTAACGGTGCCCACCTGTGTCGCGCCCATTGACAAGTCCAGCAACTCATACAAACTCATTTCGGACGACATCGCATTTAAAGATTTCCAATATATCAGTTCACTTCATAAAATATCTTTAGCAAACCTAAAATTACATAGGACTACTATGTACATTTGGTTTTACAACTATATAAAATTATATTACATTTATCAATTAAATGTGAACATATAGGACAGCAGGTAGCCTGCTTAAAAAGGCGGAAACTAAAAAAGAAACACAATTGTTACATTTGTTCAACAACAGGTAATTATAAAATTATCCGTTTAATTGTTTAAATTTTTGCCTACTGTCTGTTAGAAAGACAAACTCTTACACGAATAAAACTATCTGAGAGTAAAGAGGCCGGTAAAGAGGTTTTAGCTGGATCACATGTGGACATTTCTGCTTTGATAAATTGGACCCAAGATTTTTCGTGACTTTCCGTCACTGGCCACGCCCATCAAAAAGCCAATTCGTCGTCGAAATTTACGTGAATTTAAAGAGCGTTTGTGATTGGATAAAATGCAAGTCAATCACCAAAACTTCAGCCTCCGAATGGTAATAGCGTTTGCGGTTGCTAAGCACCAGCCACTTCACTATTGTTGTTATACCAATAGATGATGCATTGCTTTAAATTGATTTAGCACATTTTCGCATTATTAAAGTAGTTTACAAATAAATACCATGAGAGAAAATAGATGGACATATTTATTAAAACAACAAAGAAATTTGAACAATTATTACAGCACATTAGAGCATAATATTAGGAATACATATATTTAAAAAATACATGCATCGCATTCGTTTCCATTCCCGTTATGTAATCACCTTCAAAGTCAAACTGAAGTAATTTCCAAACTCTCACTGACAGTAACCCACAAAAAAAGGTTTTTTTTTCCCGATCACTCTGCACAGCAGAGCACTGATCTCCTATGTAAACCGGCGAGGAATTTGTCGGCAGTCAGAAAATGCTGAATGGATCATGTAAATGAAAATTATTCACAACAATTTAAATAATAGTAGTGACTGTATAATCCCTTAAGACGCGCGGTGCTTCCCTTGGTTGTATGAACAAGGAAGATGGACGATGACCCTGGCGTAGAAAAAAAATAGACGTGCAAAAAAGTACAACACACAATTGTATTACGAGTGGCCTTTGCCGCTTTACACTTTCGTGGATGAACTTGTATGACTGCTTCAGGAATCGATGTAGTAATTCTACACTACACAGACGTCTTCAGGTTTTGCACAGGAATCTGCACGAGCATCATGCCTTTTCCCATTCCTCTGCGGTCTGGCAGAGGGATTTTGTGAAAACGCCATTTATAACGAAGCAGGTTGCACCTGCCCCAACAACCTGGATTTTCAAACTTTGGCACACACTTTAAGAATGAAGCCCAGCCGCTCTAATCGGGACTTGTACGCCACGTGTACTTCAACCGCAACCAGCGCGTGCTAACAAAATGTACACATTTCTAGCGTTTAATCTCACTCCCCCCCCCAAAACACCAAAATAAACTCGGGAGTAGACGCTTAACACAGTTTTCACCAGCCTCCCAAAACCGAACGAATCGAACTACTGTATTCTCCCGTGTAGACATGTATTGGCAATCGCTGCTTAACAGATTTTATACGTTGCGCATTGTCACTTGCCTATGTTCTTGCTTTACAAGGTCTCAATTCTTGTGCATGCTGTATGTTTCTCAGAAGGAAGTGTTCAGCACTGAGAAACTATCCACTAAATTCCACAAAGCTGGCAATGTACCTAAAAACTCTAACATGTTTCATTTGCGTTTCAGGTTGTCCCTTTATGTTATTTTTTTTCTCAAAAAGAAAAAAATGGACAGATTTTTGCCATCTGCGGGTGCCCAGACAGCCTAAATGTACTTAGTCTAGTTTAATATATGGTCATCTTCTGCAAAAAACAAAAGCTGACACTTTCCCGATTGTACTCGATCACAAGTGGAAGCTGTGATTTTCTATGGACTATCAGTTTAACCAAATAAAAAAAAATTCAGCAGGTTTCTGCTCTCAAACAGCAGATTGAACTGAAGTGCATCCTAAATTCTGTGCGTTTTTGTGTATTTCGTAGGTGCTTAGGATGACATCAAGATGCAAAGCAGGGGTTGGGGTTGGAGTGCAAGGGGGGGGGGGCACACCAAAGTCATCAGGAAACACATCAGCGCGTCATATGCTGCTGTAGTCAGAGTCCCGGCGAGTGGCCGCCACGACCAGCTCGGCCACAAAGAAGGTGATGGTGCCCAGGAAGCCCACCAAAGCCATGATGAGCAGCTGCCAGTGGAGTACGAGGTAGTTACTGTAGAAGAAAGCCACGGCTGCAGAGATGGACTGCAGGGGGCGACAGACATACTCGTTATGCTCCTCATCGATACAAGGACACAGTGAGGTATGTTACGCTATAGGCCAGTGTTTCCCAATCCGGTCCTTGTTTTTGCTCCCTGCTAGACAGTCCACATTTTTGCTCCCAACCAGGAGCTGGGAGGGAGCAAAAACATGCTGTCTAGGGGTCCCCAAGGATCCAACTGGGAAACACTGCTATAGACACAAAAAGGACACTGTGATTATACCTCCTTGGTAGCTTACCTGGATAAATTTGAAGATGGCAAAGGCGGGGGCACTGTTCTCACGGAACACGTATCCCACAATGCTCAGCAGCTGGGTGTTGAAGCAGCTGTCACCCAAGCCCAGCAAGAAGCTGCAGAGGAGCGCCACTGTGACACTGAGGGAACAGTCACAGCAAGAGCAGGAGTCAGAACAACAGGGGAATAGATTCTAGGCGCCACATAGCTCCTTACGTACCTGGGCGTGATGTAGGCCTCCTTACGTACCTGGGCGTGATGTAGGCCTCCTTACGTACCTGGGCGTGATGTAGGCCTCCTTACNACGTACCTGGGCGTGATGTAGGCCTCCTTACGTACCTGGGCGTGATGTAGGCCTCCTTACGTACCTGGGCGTGATGTAGGCCTCCTTACGTACCTTGGGGTGATATAGGCTTCCAGGTGAGTGCCGTCCTGCGAGGCGATCGGTGCGTCGTTGGCGATGTTGAGGAAGATCAGGAAGAAGGCCAGGTAGTGTGTCAGCAGGCCTAGCAGCACCACCAGGTTTCTGCCACAGCTGTAGCACTTGTTCAGCATCCCAAATAAGCCCCCACCTGAGAACAGGGAGGAAAAGACTGTGACTCAGATGGGGTGGGGCTGCCCCTTATCCTCCCCCCCACTCCCGGAGGCACAATCGGGCAGCAGATCGGGGGAAACCCTTCCTAATCCAAAAGACATGGGGTCTGCGATCTTTGGCTCCTCTTCTGCACTTAACTAAACTGAGTACAAAAGGAGAGTGACCTCTGGGAGACTTAGGTATCAAAACAGGAACCATTTGCTAGGTTTTCTGTACAGACTGTCCCCGACTTACAACCTATGTGACTTATGATGACTCACACATATGACCGAAGGTAATCAATTTATGTAAAAATAAATTTCGGGTGTATATACATCATCAGGGATGCTACGTGGTGTAAACTGCACGCGGAACACGCCACGGAAAGTACTGTGTGGCAGAACGACCATCCCTGGCTCACACGCATCTCCAAGTCTCATTTTTACACCAAAAAATCCGTGCGATTAGCCTATTCTGAGAAACGTCCATTTCAACACACGACCCCTCAGCTGAACCAGCTGGGGACAGACAGTCTGCGTAACCTGCAGGATTCCAGTTCTTGAGCAACAGGACTAGACTCTGCTGTAACAAGCACAATAATCATAGGAATTCATCCCCGACAGAAACTAATACACACGGCTTTACGCACCTAGAATCTCCCCCAAACCGATGCAAATCCCAGAGAGGCCGATCAGGCCCTTGGCGTCGTCCCCGAAGCGTGTCATCGCCCCGATGCAGGTTCCATACACCCCGCTGTAAAAGGTCAGTTCCAAGCCTGCAGGGAAGTGGGGGCAGACAGCGACTCTGAGGTCACACCTCACTGTCAATCACTATACAGTAACCATTCAGATATCTGGACACACCTGCTTTTAAGGCATTTGTCTCTGTTTTAGCTGTTATTCACCTAATGGTAAAAGGCCTCAAGGCAAGGAAGTAATACTCATCAAGAACTGCAATGACCACGTGAAATGTTCTAGGTCTCAAATTTTAGACTCATCCAATTAGCCCCTCTTGGCTTCGATGACAGCATTGCATTCTTTCAGCCAGCTTCCAGATGTAGCCACCTGGAACGCTTCTCCAACAGTCCCGAAGGAATTTCCACAAGTTCTGAGCACAAGTTGTCTACCTTACTCTTACTCTTCGATCAAAGTCACCCCAAACCAGCTCTGTAGAGTTTAGTTGGGGGGGAGGGGGGATTGTTGAGGCCAGGTCATCTGTCGCAGCATTCCATCTCATTCCACAAGATCATACAATACTTACATAACCTTGGGGAGTGCTTAGAACTTAGGGCAAATGATTTCCAGTATGTCTGTCCAGTCTTTTGACTGATACTGAACCCATGTCATTCTGCTGCATCTGCCAGACACCAATTGGCTGAGATGCTCCTACCCGTGTAGGCTATGGACGTGCTCAGCAGCAGCATCTCCTTGGTGATGGACAGCTGGACAGCCTTCTCTGTAAACAGAGAGCAGAGGGTGAGAGCTGGCTGTGCTGAGGAACCACAGTCGGGCTGCATTTAAGGGGCTGCGCTCAAAGACTCAAGGTCATGGTAGGAACCAGGAGGAGAATCGGCCTGGGACTTACTGAAGGCATTCCATGCCTGAGAACAGCGTCCTTCGGCGGGTCTGTAACAGAAAACGCACTCGATAAACCATCAGATCTATCACACCCTCTGCCGGAAAACATAAAGAGGGAATAACAGCCAACTACGGATGCTCCCCGTTTAACGAAGGATGGTGTGACTTATGATGTTTCAAATTAACGAAAGGCACGATAGCAACGCACATTTAGTATCTAAAATCGCGGTCCGTTCCTGGGTTAGCTATACGGCGTACGATGGCGGCATCCACCAGCCACGCTTCCAGACTCCGTAGCGATCGGGAGCGTAAACATCTCAGTGTTTTGCGACGTATCGTATTCAGTTACAGAAACTGTTTACTTATTCACTGACAGAAATTATTAATCTTCATATTTATCATATCATGTTTGACTTCATATCAATATTTCAGCTTCATTGGAAGCTAAGCCCATCGTAAGCAGAGAAGCGCATGAACATTATATGAGGTTTTTGCAAAGATCAGCACCGCGTGTTTGCGTTCGTGACTAACGTGACAGTCAGGGAGCCCTCGGTGGGGTCCGCTGGCAGCAGGGGTTCGCACGTGTCGGAGGAGCCGCCCTCTCTGGTCGTGGCCTCAGTGTCCAGCCGCTGGATGAGGAAGAAGAGGAAGGTCCCGACCAGGCTGATGACGGTGAGCGAGATGAACACGGTCTGACGGTCCTTATCTGAGGCAGAGTGTTGACATCCTCCCTTAGTTACGCACTAATTAGGGTTTATAATAAAATAATCGGTAAAACAAGCATGAAATACCTGAAATGGTTGTTTTCCCATGCCAGGCTAAATATATGTAGAGGTTTCCAAATAATAAACTGTAAGGGAAAAAAAACCCAAAATGATTAGGCCTGTACACATTGCTATGGTTACCAAGAAAACAGCAGCATCCGCCGTTATCCCATCATGCACCTGAACTGCAGCAACGCCCAGAAGATCCCACTGTTTCTGCCAATGGTGGAGTCCGTGGAGTTGATGGCGAGCAGGTTGCCCTGCGCCGTCCACAAAACTGAGAGGGACGGGAGGTGGGAGGGAGATTAAGATAATCGCCGTCACTGTAGGTACCATCGTCATGTCCATCATCGGAGAAACTGACAGAGTTGTACCTGCAGCTGCTATCCCGACCACCACAGAAGCCGTGTAGAAGGACCAGGTCAAAGGACGGATGAACACAGCAATGTAACCGCTGGAAGGAAGTAAACACGCAGCTGTCACACAGTAAAAGAGCCAAAATAAGCACTGAGTCTATATCCACACAAACCAGGATGAATCAGACGCATGGAAAGAATACATTATTCATTGGTTATTTAAAGAGATGGAAAGTTCAGGTCCAGAAAGTAAAAATCCAGACCAAGGTTTTATTTCAACCAACCAGCTGAGTACTCACTATATATATTCAACTGATTGGTTGAAACAAAATCCTGGTCTGGATTTTTATTTTCTGGACCTGAACTATCCACCACTGTTATTTACTGTATGCCCGCACTACTCTGGGCAATAAAAAATAATTGTCTCAGGAGACAAGAAAGGAGGGGGCAGGCCATCGTCCTAGTAGTGAAGGAGAGTCATAATGGTTTTCATATTGGAGTTTCAAACTGCCTCATCAGCCTGTCAATAAAGTTTGACCACCAACTGCTTTCAGACAAAGGCACGTAGATGTAGATGTAGATGTAGAGTGCAAGTCAGACGGGTTCATCTTTGACATATCGATGCTCAAAAACACTCAAGGCAGGTTTAGTGCATCCGGTACTGAAGCTGCATCCGTAAGATGATTAGCGGTGTGCTGAGAGAAAGGCATTGAGCTGCATGGAGACAGGCAGTACAGGGCCTTTCTGGGATGAGCAAGCGTGGCGGTGATATGCAGGGAAAACGCCAACAAATCCCAGATACTCAATAAACAAAACAAAAAATCTAAAATGGGGACCTACATCAATCCATCTTCCAAGCTCCTATCCTGAGTTATTGGAGGGAAAGTAAAGTCCAAATCACCTACAGTAGTGGGAAGGGTTGCGGTTGTGTGTGCTTCCTGATTTGCTGAGTTGTTAGCACAATGCTCTACTTGTTGAGCTACAGGAGCTGCATGCCTTTGGAAGGACACTGGGAGAACATGAGAGTGGAGGTGGGAGACAACAGGAGTACCCACTGAGCCCCCCAGACATCTACATGCTAAAAAAGAATACAAAAACTTGGATGCTTTAATGCTGGAATATTATATGCAGTCTTGTAGTCAATCCATTCTGATTAGCATATTAGTAATTTTGCCTCTGTAACGTCCATACAGAGTCACTGCTTTGTCCAGATTGTTTTACCATTTTGCTATTGGTTGGGCCATCATTCATTAATGAGCAGGCTGAGTGTTGGTGTACCTGTACAGCAGTCCACTGCCGAACATGGACAGCTGCGGTCCTACGACAGCTACCACAGAAGGTGCCATCAGGTTGGACGCAGAGAAAACCCCGTAAATAATCGCCATGCTGCCGAGGAAAAAAAGAAAAAGTTTGAAATCTGGCCGATAACAGGCATGGATTCCCAGGTAAAGACCAAATCACTTCTGTTTCATATCTGCAATCCCAAGTGCGACCCATTTTTCCCACTAGGTGAAAAGTCTAACAAAGAGAATAATCACAGAAAACGTTTCACCAAAAGCAAATGAAGACCTACCCTCATAGCATTTGTATGGGGCTACTAGCTAAATGCTTAGTTGTACCCAGCTGAAAAATCATTACAAGAACCCTTGTGTCAGCCTAAAAATGCACGTTTGACAATTATATTGCATGTCAGCGATGCAGTACAATTTCAGAAACTTGGTAATACTCTTCATTATCTTCTTCATGTCATAAAAGAAGACTCACGCTTATCAAGATCTCAGAGCTAAGAGATCAAAGTTCTACATAATATGCATGACATCCAAAAGTATATCATAAAATTTACCTTGTATATCCACTCCCATGGAATTCAGTGTTGTTGAAATTCTTTATTACTGTTTGCTGAAAACAAGCAAATACACAGTAAATTAAATTTGAATATATGTATAAATTTGCTGAGGTACCAGAATTCTTGTGCCCTCTTACTCAATGTGGAACATGGCTATCATAGTTAAATAAATTTGGTGAAGGGCAACTGACATCACAGACTGGCACTAATTAATTTCTTGGAAATTGTGACGGCAATGATTTCCATTATCAGTGTTCGGCTACCTGACATGAGCCACCTTGTCTCTTTGAGCTTGCTACAACAAGGTACGTGGTAGGTTTGATAAAATACTACAAATTAAGGTAAATTGTTTGGAATATAATTATTATTATTTCTGTTAATATCCATGTAGTAATGGGTGACAAACATCAAAGGCATTCAAAACAACCTTGTTTTGTGCATAGGTGTCTGCACATACAGATAAACCCTCCTTCAATGCATCTTTCACCATTCATAGTTAACTGGAAAGATTATGGTCTTCTTACCTCTATATTACCGCAGGTTTGAAAAGCGGTAAAAATAAACATAAACCCGAAACCAAGAATAATTATATTCATAAGATTCTTCCCCGCTGGAGTCATGTTTGAGTTTTTCTTGACGTTTATCGAACTGCTGCATTTGCAATTGTTCCAGAAAGACCCACAAACAAAAAGAAAAGGAAAAACATGTCACTACCACAATGTCTTCCTATTTCGATACTTAAAAGCATACAATCACCACAACAATATGTATCACAGATAATTTCAACTGGACATAAGACTTTTAAATAATCTGCCTGGGAAATAAACTGTCGAGGAAAAAAAACGATCAACTCTCTCACGATCACTACATTGTCCTGAATTTTCTTAATCAATTTCGACGTAAATATATCATTTACAGTTTAATAGAAACAGCTTACCAAGTCAGGTGGTACGGGCGCGGTTGCTGTCTGTGGGTCAATTTCTAGTTACAGAGTAAAGTTACCATCTCTCAAAATGACCGTCCCGCTCTAGAAAATGAGTAACTATGAAGACAGTCAGATGACAAATACGGAACTAAAACACTGCTTTTTCCGTCTGGCATTGAATCAATCTTAACTAACAAGACATTCACTGAAATTCCGCATGTATGACTGTAATTGTGCCTGTGAGTATCATGTGATAGTCAGCTGACAAAGATCGCCGGAGGAAGCCGCAAGGTCTGTCGGGAATCGGAGTTTTTCTTTTGGAAAAGTGACGGTTACCTGAAAGAAAAGTTTATCTTCCGGGTCAACATAATAAAAGTTATATAAACAATCTAGATTTTAATTTCTTTGTAGAAGTAAATACAGTCGTATAAATAAAATTGTTTACGTAATCTTATGTCTATTATTTTTTCTGTTTAAGCGTTGCACACCCATACGCCGTATAAATAGGAAGCCAGGAAATACTTAGGCGCCATTTTATGTGAGCGAGCGTTGGATGGGGGTCCAGCTGCGTGTTCCATGGAAAAGAGCGAGTTTAATAGCTTGAGTTGATAATTGGGTTCTTTGTTTAAAAGTTAGGACCGTACTTCGAAAGTTGTAATAATAAATTAGGCTTCAGTTTGAATACAGTTTATCTTTATTAAAGGAAAATGAGTTACGGCAGGCCTCCGCCAGACGTGGAGGGCATGACGTCTCTGAAGGTGGACAATCTGACGTACCGAACCTCTCCGGAGACTCTGCGCCGCGTTTTTGAGAAGTATGGTCGGGTAGGGGATGTCTATATTCCCCGGGATCGCTACACGAAGGAGAGCAGAGGATTCGCGTTCGTGCGGTTTCACGACAAGCGGGACGCCGAGGACGCGATCGACGCCATGGACGGGGCGATCCTGGACGGCCGGGAGCTGCGGGTCCAGATGGCCCGCTACGGACGGCCACCAGATTCTCACTATGGACATCGAGGAGGACCTCCCCGCAGGTACGGGGCATATGGCAGAAGGAGCAGAAGGTAAGACTGGCAGGCTGCTCTCTGATGGAGGATCTGCCTGGCGGGATAAGTTTTAAAACTATATCCACATAAACTATATCCACTGTGTTGGTTAAAACATTTGAATGCACAAACGCACCAAATAGCCAACATCCATTGTGTTTGGACCTTGAATCTGCAAATAAATAATATAGAAAGTATAAAAGTATGCAAAATGAATGCGCAGTTGGTGTTACAGAAGTGAAAACTCCCTCCTGTTGTAAAGTTCACGCGTAATTAATTACGCCGCACTGTTAATGCTGATTAGTCATTTTACTCAATTTGAAATGTGGACAAGCAGCGGCACTTAAATATAAATCTACTCGTCCCGTTGGAATGGGGATGAATGTATATGCTTGACTTGGCATTTGTGACCGTCTCGACAAAGTTGACCAGGAGCCATTTTGCGACGCACCCCCTCCCTGTCTTGCAGCCCGAAACGCCGAAGACGCAGCCGCTCCCGGAGCCGGAGTCGCTCCCGTTCCCGCAGCCGCTCGCGCTACAGCCGCTCCAAATCGCGCTCCTATTCGCGTTCTCGTTCTCGCTCCAAGACTCGCTCCAAGTCTCGCTCCAAGTCCCGCACATCTCGCAGAAGCAAGTCCAGATCCCCGTCCAGGTCGCGCTCCAGATCTCGATCCAAATCGAGGTCCAAATCGAAATCCAAATCCCACTCGAGGAGTCGCTCGCCGACATCGAAAAGGATCTCCAAATCCAGATCACGGTCTAAGAGCATGCTGAAGTCCCCTGAGAAGAACGGTGCAGTCTCATGAACGGTAAGCCTTAGGCATAGACCTGAGATCTATGCTTTTTTTTTTTTTGCAAGGACTGAGGTGTCTATAGAGGATGCATGAATACACCAGATCCTTCTCTGTGCTGCACAATATACTTGTAACCTGGCCCAATACTATCCTATAATGGTGAAATATGTGCCGCTTTCAAAGGCACAAAAGTGTAATCTGACATTAAAATCATATGATTGCAGGCTTTGAAATGTTTTTCTGTAGCTTGTTTTTGTACAGCTAGGGAAGTGTAACAGGTTTTTCTTGCAGTATTATTAATTTTTTTTTCTAAATTCCCATTACATTAAAGTAGGAAGCATCCTGATGTCGTGTTTCCCAACTCGATTCTTGGGGACCCACAGATGGCCCACGTTTTTGCTCCCTGTCAGATGGTCCACATTTTTGCTTCCACCCAGGAGCTGAGAGGGAGAAGAAAAGTGGACTGTCTGTGGGTTTTTGGGGACTGGATTGGGAAACGCTGTACTAATATTGTTTAGGCCTGGTATTTTTGTCAGTCACCCTCGTTTGGGCAGGTGTTGGGATAGGTGCACCTTGATGCAAAAGTGAATCTTTTTGCATTTTTTTTTTTAAACTTATTTTGGACTTAATGTTCACCCAAAAATGTGGAATTCTCTCCTCCAAGCTGCTGATTCCTGTTTGCAAAAGAGGAGTTTGGGGCTGTATGTGCAGTTAGATGGGGTGTGATCCGGCCCAGTCCTCCGGCTGCTGCTGGTGGTGTGGTGGCTAAGGAGCAGGTGGTTCTGTCAGTATTGGGGTGGTGCTGAGGTAGGTTTGCAGGACAATGGATGGAAGCCTGGCATTGTCCTCCTGGTCATCGATTTGGGCCGCTGGGAGGCAAAGGTTAAATGGGAAAAAAAAAATGAGAACTTGGCCCCCTTTTGTGGAGGGGCGGAGGAGTGGGGTTGGAAGAAACCCTCTTGGGATGAGTGGAATGTTTTTGCACACAATACTATTAGATCCATCATTCAAACATTTTCCATTCTCTTGACACAAGTGATAAGCCTTCATATGTGTAAGATTTAAGTAAACACCCCATTTAGCAGTATGGAAACTAAACACATCCCTTCAACCAACCCTCGGTGTTTTCAGTAATCTCCCACACATGCTCTGAGGGTTCTGACTCCTTGCTGTTTTGCATAGTAACACTCATCATAAAAAAAATGATCATGATGTGACTGCAGGTAATAGTTTGCTTAAATGAACAATGTCAATGATGTCTGTCTTATTCAGACCTGCTTCTTCTTCTCTAGTTTTTTCAGGCTGAAAGGACCAAGGACATCCCATTGGAAGTAAAGACCTAAGACTGAGGACTTCCACCCCACAAAATGTGACTTAAGGTTAAGATTGGACCTTGGTCTGAAGAGTCCCCTCATTTGTTTGTTTATACCTAAAGGCTTTATTTGTACTAAACGGTTTGATTTCATTTTAATTCGTTAAACATGCCGAGTAGCAGATGCTAATGAGTTACTGGAGCTAAACGGAAACAACTAATGATGGAGAGGGCGCAAAGGAATTCCGTAGAAATTGTAATTGAGTTTCTTAAATGTTTTTCGTCGTGAAGAAATTATTCACCTTCCACAAATGCAGCTTTAGTTATCTGTTCTCTAATTAGCCCTCAGTCTAAAAACATCCAGTTCTTAGTTCAAGATGTACTGAAACTTGGAATTAACTGCTTAAATGCAACCAGTGCTATGTGGAGATTTTTTTTAAATATTCTTGCAGCTTTCTGCTGTAGATTTATCGTTTTTATTTTACTGATTTCTAATCTTGTATGTTTGTGCACTAGGCGCAGTCGTGTAGCTGTTGAGTTGCTGATTAGCTGTTGAGGTGCCGTGTGGCTGCGCAAGCTGCTTGGCCATGCCTGGTTGTCTCCAGATTTACTATTGTGGTTACCATAACAGCATAATCATGGCTGCTGTGGGTCACTTTGGTAAATGCACATTTTCTTTCTGGTACCTTGAAACATTTTTCAATAAACTTAGTGGACAATTACCAAGTTGCTTGGGGATTCCTCTTCTGTATGCTCTGCTTGGTCAAACGGAACTTATCCACTTGCTGAATCCGTATGGTGCATTCCTTTAACTTCCAAGAAATTCTGTTTTCCACGAAGTGTTTATACCAATAAATGTTTGTCTAAATTTTGAACCAATGAATCTAGACTCTTCAACAGTCAGACCAATTGAGTTTGTTGCTCCTGAGCCTTTCAGTTCAAATTGAAATAAAATTGTGTAGAATTCTCTTACAGAATTTCCCAAAAAACATGCCTCAAACAACTGCTTCATCACGGTTTCTCCTTTAATTGTATAATCAGCATCTGTATCGTGTGACTTCCAGGGAGTGTTGAGCCAGCTAGATGTTCTTTGTCGGCATGGAAACCATCTAAAGGAACTTCTGTGCATGTCAGGTTCCATTTGTGCAGCAGAGCTTCTATTGACCAGTCGGCACTGAAAACAAAGTGAAAGTTCGAAGTCAGATTAACATCAAATTCTTTTTTCGGTGTGGGGGGGTTCTACTGATCTAATATTAAGCCTTTGTTACACCTACCTTCTCTCTTGGTAAGTTGTCCAAAATTGGGCTTGAGCATTTCTCCGTAAGAGGAAGGAGACGGTGACCAACACATTCTCGAAGGCTGCCAAATGTTGAGCGAAAAAAGGAAAAATGGGCAGATTAAAATTGAGCACAGTATGCGCATTAAAGCAGTCCCTCAACCAAGACCCTTTAAAGGGCGTACAAACCTTCAGGCTCGTAAAATACATCTGATCCTAATATGATGTCTACAGAAGATAACAGCAACAGGTCAGGAGACGCCTGGCCCCAAGTGATTCCCACGACGGGCACGCTGTGCAGCTGGTTTGATTTGCAGGTACGGCGGCAGTTGTCCAGGCAGTGCGGCAGCTCATCACTATCTGAAAGAACTACGTTTGCCCCACACTTTGTGGCCACTGTACCGGGCAAACTCACTCCGGCACCAAGCTGAAACGATTGCATTCAGATTCAGAGTACTGAATGGCCAATTACCTATAGGTCTATTTGTCACATCCATAACCACTGATAAAATGCCAATTATTTCTAGCTTGTAAATATATGCACTTTCAGTATTTGTCTACATTGAACCCAATAGCTTACATGGAAAGATATGCAAACTGACATATTAAATTTGTCCATGCTTGGAGGCATTTTGTTTGCTAATATGAGTCTCATTCTTAATGCTGAAATTGCCCCAATATATTTGTTTGGCCGATAATTTATCTGAACAAGTCAAAGTTTTTATCAGTGTGCTGATTTGTTTTGCATATATTTTGTACAAAGCTCAGAGTGTGAACTCTGAATTAGAGCAGAATTTGGCCAGAAAATGGTGATACGCAGGCAGTACTTGTATTATGGGCATGCTTTGCATATCTGTTTGACACTGACCTCCAGAACATTCTTCCCCTGTACTTCCTCTTTTTGCATCCACACGTACTGCGCTAGGACCACCGCACATGGCCACACGTACATCCCATAGTCCGGATCAAGAACCTGCAACACAGGTCAAATTATAGATGGAAATTGTGATTATCCACTATTCGAGTATGTTCGACTAAAATATTTGTTCACCTATGACACCTATAGAGAGCTTGCGTGAGTCTGAACGCGTGACTATCACGCCAGATACGGGAGAGGTGGCAAACATTTGGATATATATCACAAACATTTTACAAATCATTTTATACTTGACGGTACTAACTCATTCATACGTCTATACATTATTACACCACTGGGTGGCGAAAGAGAGGGCACTTCGCCTGTGAATGGCATAATCTAATACACTCGTGAATGAACTGAAACTAATGACGAAGCATTACAGTTAAGAAAGTCAATTCTTTCATTTAAAAGATTCGTTCAAAAACACACAGGTAATGAACGGAGAGTTTAAGCATCACCAGCAGAACGTGATTCATTGTTTCTAAAGCTATATCTATATCTATATCATTTCGTGGGAGCACTGCAGTTTTTACCGGATAAAATATACAATCATTATATATGCGGCTAGGTACAGCATTGTCGTGCACTATGGAAAGCCTTGCTTTGTAATTTTAATTTATAAAGGTTATAAAAGTTAAAAAGAACCTCAGGGACTGAAACTGTCAGGGAACGCAATCCATCTTCATGCTCCTCTTCAAACCTAAACGTCTTCAGAATAATACCGGACTCATCCGCTTCATTCATAGCCATAAATATACAAATTTGTGATATAAAATATTTTTACGTGCAAGGAACAAAACAATCCTGCTACGATTCTTCTTTCACTGACTAAAACTGCTTTTACAGCAGGCCACTACTACTTTGCGCCGCCATTACGGCAAGGAGGGACTATGACGTCATAAATTACGCGCCATTTCCGCTGCGATGAGATTTGGCACAATGCCAGTCATCTGTTTTTTGGGAAGGCAAATATTTGCTATCCTTATTTAATCCATTAATTATATTAAATGTTTGAAAATCACCATTGGCATGCACGTATTGGCAGTGTCTCGTAGTGCAGTCTGACTTGGCGGATTGTCCAGTTGCAGCACAGTTGACACTGAAGGTATATTCGTCCAAAACAAACCAATATTCAATCATTAGCAATTTAAGTGTCAGTGGGAGTTCTGTTCTTAATCATCACTTTGTCGTATTTATTAGGCTATATTAATGGAAACATAACACGTGGGAAGATGTGAACGTGATTCCTACTGTTACTTAATGACAAAACAAAGAAGTTATGGCAATGAAATGCTATTGTTATAAGCTATCATAGCTATTCCAAAAACGCTCCCCCTAGTGGCACATGCCAGTTACTTCAGATTGTCACGCTACGGGGGAAATACGATGTCTGGAAGCGCACTCATAATCCAACGCTTTGTATAAGCGTATTTTTCACAACGCTGTAAGCATTGCACTGCTGATAGAACGTGAATGCAATATCTACCAATCATTAATAAAAAAACATTGAAAACCTGATGTGTAACGAAAGCTATCATAGCTATTCCAAAAACGCTCCCCCTAGTGGTACATGCCAGTTACTTCAGATTGTCACGCTGCGGGGGAAATACGATGTCTGGAAGCGCACTCATAGTCCAACGCTTTGTATAAGCGTATTTTTCACAACGCTGTAAGCATTGCACTGCCTTGAGAGCGTGAATGCAATATCTACCATTCATTAATAAAAAACGATTGAAAACCTGATGTGTAACGAAAGCTATCATAGCTATTCCAAAAACGCTCCCCCTAGTGGTACATGCCAGTTACTTCAGATTGTCACGCTGCGGGGGAAATACGATGTCTGGAAGCGCACTCATAGTCCAACGCTTTGTATAAGCGTATTTTCC